CACCCTGGTGTTCATAGTTTAGCCCCTATTTCTTTTCACCACTTTTTTTTTTTTTTTTTTTTTTTTTGGCGGAACCAGGAATTGAACTCAGACCCTTGCGCTTGCAAGGAAGCGTTTATTCCACTGAGCCATCTCCCCGGCCCTAAGCCTCTAATTTTGAAGAACTGCAGGAAATCTTTTCTTTTTTTTCGCCTTTTTCTTAGAGAAAAAATGTTTAAACTCCTATTTTACTAATGAAGCAAGGGAGGCAATAAATATTATGCATAAGATTTTGGGGTTTGGGGAGGTTTTTTGCATTTTAGGGAAGGGTCTACACAGTGTTCAAGGTCTCACTACTAGGTCAGACTTGTAGTGATCCACCTGTTTATAGCCTCCCAAGAGCTGGGATTACAGGCGCCGTACCACCACGCCCAGTCTCCATTGCCATCTCAGTGTGCCTTCGGGAGGGGGCGTGGCACAGCAGGCCCGGGGATTGAACCCCAAGCCCCAGCAGGCGCTTTAGTCTGCTGCGCTCTTGGGCCAGCCTGGATTTTTGGTTTTTGAACAGTGAAAAAGAAAATATAGTTTTACAAGGAAAAGTCCTTGATTAACCAGTAATTTTATTTACTGTTTTTTAATGCACTTTTTCCCTTTTCTCTTCCCTAGTAGAAAAGTTGATATTTGCTCCCCAAAAGCATACACACTCCTGTGTCTCTTTGGAGGGGCAGAAGTGTCTCTTAGGGTTTCCTGAGACCTCGAGCCTTGTCTTTCTGATGACCTCGTGTGCCTGCTTTCGACCTCATGAATTGTCTTTCAGTTCTGCACTTGTTCCTTTGCTCCATATGCTGGCCTCAGACACACTCTTGCTGCCCGTTGGTGCTCTCCCTGCTCTTCCCCTTCCAAATATTCATCTGAGAGATGCTTTGTAGCCTCTGGACTCCTACTGTGGGGTCCTTCCCACAGGATCACCCTTGCCCTGACGCAGCATGGTGGTGACTCATCCTTGCTCCTGGTGACCTTCTCAACACGAGGGTACTAAGATAGTTGAAGGAGCAGGGCTCCGTCATGACGGAGATCTGCTTCGGGTTCCCAGGGGAAGCCTGGAGAAGCGTTTCTGACACTGGCACCATTCTGACCTCACTTTCGTAGGCACTTTTTCAGTGAACAGAAAAGATCCTAAAGATACTTCTTTTCTTCTTACAGAACTTGGGTGAACCTTGTAAGGCAGTCATTCACTCTCTTTCCCACAGAACTCTCATTTTAAAGTGTTTGTTATGAAATAGCGCATGCGGCCAGGCACAGAAAGACCAATACGTATGGTCACACTCACACAAGGGCTCTAAGAAGTGGATCTTATAGAGGTGGAAAGAATAGGGTTACCACCAGGTACGCAGGAGAGAGGAAGGCAAGATGATGAATGTGTGCGGTTAGGTAGGGGCAGGGACACAGAGGAGACTACTGATAATGCATTACGCCACACATTGCAAAAAACTGTAAGAGGAGGGGGCTGGGGAGATAGCTCAATAGAATAAGCAGTGGCTGGCAAGTGCAAGGTCTTGAGTTTAATCCCCAGTACTGCAAAAAAGCAGGGGGAGGCTCAAGAACCTTGCCAGGGAGATAGCTCAGTAGAATAAGTGCTCGCCTGGCTCGTGCAAGGTCCTGAGTTCAATCCCTGGTACCGCAAAAAAAAAAAAAAAAAAAAATTATAAGATGGGTTTTGAAAGTTTTCATTAATAAAGAATGAGTTTGAAGAGGTAGATACATTAAAACTGGTTTAAACATTACAATGTGTGTATTATTGCAGTGGCCTGTGGTACCCCCATAAGTATGGACAGTTTTTATATATCAGTTAAATATGTGTATTTAAAAGATGCTTACTAAATTTACATATAACTACCCCACCTGTCTGACTCAATGACAAGCACATATTCACAGTTAAATTTATGTTTGAAAATGAAATAAAGATCAGAAATACTTCTGTGTACTAATGAGAGAATTCTTATATTTTGAGTTGAGGATTGTAACTTGACAATTCAGATAGCATAACCAAAATATTCCTTTGCCTCCCCATCCTCAATTAACAGCATGTACTGTGTGCTGCGCCTCAGTAGCCTAACACATTGAAAGCCCACAAGGGGCAGGGGTGCCCTTTCTTATTACCTGGAGTCAGTGGACTTTCTGTACAGGGCCAGATAGTAAGGATCTCAGACACTGAACGTGTTTTGTGTTACAACTGCTTACTTCTGCCTTTGCTGTAAAATAACTGAAACAGTGTGTAAACAAATCAATGGGACTGCTTTACAATAATACCAACTGTAAATTTTGTATAATTTTTTATATACAGATTCCTCTTTGATATTTTTTCAGTCATTAAAAATATAAAATTGGAGCCTATAGTTGACCAACCCCAGCTATAAAGTTTTCGGGTGGAAAGAACATAAGTATTAGGAGTGAAAGTACCAAGATAAGGTGTGGCTATTTTTGAGGACCACGTTCAGAGCATTTTATATGCCTACACCAAGTGTACAAGGAAATCAGACATCACCTCAGGTGATCACCAGTTTCTCCTTGGGACTGTGCCAGCCTTTCATTTCTCCTTGAGTTGGCCCTGGAAGTCTTGGTTGCTTCCTCTTGCCCCTCCTCTCTTTGGGGCCAGTCTATGACAGAGGCCCTCCCTCTACTATCTGTAGAGTGCAGGGTTCAGGGTCTTGTCTAATCATACATGACACTTCCCCACTAGGAGAAATATTCATCCTCTTACTGCACAGCTGAGCTGTGCTGTTCCCAGGGCAGGAGCCCCTTGGCCTTCAGTTCTCTTCCTGTGTGATTCCATCCTGATTCTGTGGCCAGGACATAGCTAGGAGGTGCACTTAGGGGACACCCATGCACTACGTACAATGCCCAAAAGGTAGAGAGTTTTTTGAAGAGTTGATTTGTCCCAGGTTCAGCATTAGAACATGTTTGTGATGTAAATTTCCAAACCACAGAGATGGCTTGTTAAACATTGTCCTGATAAATTACATGCTTGATTTTCAATTTTATAAGTGAGAGGTTTCACTAATTTTTATTTAATTTCTGTCCAACTCTGGTCAGGAGACACATACAAATGCAGGGTTTGTTTTATTGTAACAATAAGAATGAATTAGAAGTTGAGGTTTTAGGTCAGCACAGTCAGTGGGCTTTTATTTGAAAGGAGTCCTTTCAGGGCATCTTGTGGCCCATGGTTAGTGCATTAGCCTTTCTCGATCACACAGGTTTGAAATACCCATTCTGTTCTGGAAGGGCTGCTACATCCTACCAGAACCCACATAGACAACATTGATTGAACAGTGGGATGAAGCCTGTGCAGTCGATTGGTCTAGCTTTCCCATGTGAGCATTATGGGTACATGTCATTTATAGGACTTAGTAATTTGTGTGTGTGTGTGTGTGTGTGTGTGTGTG